ACCTGAGGTAGGCCTGTATTGCAATATGCTTGCCTCTTAGAATGGCCTTTGCTGTGTCCCACAGATTTTGTGGTGTTGAATTATTGTTGTCATTTGTCTCCATATATTGCTTGATCTGTTTTTATTTTGTCATTGATCCATTGGTTATTTAGGAGTATGTTGTGAAGCCTCCACGTGTTTATGGGATTTTTTGTTTTCTTTGTGTAATTTATTTCTAGTTTCATATCTTTGTGGTCTGAGAAAATGGTTGGTAAAATTTCAATCTTTTTGAATTTACTGAGGCTCTTTTTGTGGCCTAATATATGATCTATTCTTGAAAATGCTCCATGTGCACTTGAGAAGAATGTGTATTCTGATTTTGGGTGTAGAGTTCTGTAGATGTCTGTTAGCTCCATCTGTTCTAATGTGTTGTTCAGTGCCTCTGTGTCCTTACTTACATTCTGTCTGGTTGATCTGTCCTTCAGAGTGAGTGGAGTGTTGAAGTCTCCTAGAATGAATGCGTTGCATTCTATTTCCCCTTTTAATTCAGTTAGTATTTGTTTCACATATGTAGGTGTTCCTGTGTTGGGCACATAGATATTTATAATGGTTATATCTTCTTGTTGGATTGACCCTTTTATCATTATGTAATGTCCTTCTTTGTCTCTTGTGACTTTATTTTAAGGTCTATTTTGTCTGATACAAGTACTGCAACTCTTGCTTTTTTCTATCAATTAATTGCATGAAATATATTTTTCTATCCCTTCACTTTTAGTCTGTGTATGTCTCTGGGTTTAAAGTGAGTCTCTTGTAGGCAGCATATAGATGGGTCTTGATTTTTTATCCATTCAGTGACTCTATGTCTTTTTGATTGGTGCATTCAGTCCATTTACATTTAGGGTGATTATCGATAGGTATGTACTTACTGCCATTGCAGGCTTTAGATTCGTGGTTACCAAAGGTTCAGGGTTAACTTCCTTCCTATCTAAGTAAGAGTCTAACTTAACTCACTTAATATGCTATTAAAAACACAATCTAAAGGTTCTTTTTTTTTTTCTCCTCCTTTTTCTTCCTCCTCCATTCTTTATATATTCAGTATCATATTCTGTACTCTTTGTCTATCCCTTGATTGACTTTGGGGATGGTTAATTTAATTTTGCATTTGCTTAGTAATTAGCTGTTCTACTTTCTTTACTGTGGTTTTATTATCTCTGGTAACAGCTATTAAACCTTAGGAACACTTCCATCTATAGCAGTCCCTCCAAAATACACTGTAGAGATGGTTTGTGGGAGGTAAATTCTCTCAGCTTTTGCTTATCTGGAAATTGTTTAATTCCTCCTTCAAATTTAAATGATAATCCTGTCAGATTAAGTAATCTTGGTTCAAGTCCTTTCTGCTTCACTGGATTAAATAGATCATGCCACTCCCTTCTGGTCTGTAATGTTTCTGCTGAGAAGTCTGATGTTAGCCTGATGGGCTTTCCTTTGTATGTGATATTATTTCTCTCTCTGGCTGCTTTTAACATCTGTCCTTATCCTTGATCTTTGCCATTTTAATTACTGTATGTCTTGGTGTTGTCTTCCTTGGGTCCCTTATGTTGGGAGATCTGTGCACCTCCATGGCCTGAGAGACTATCTCCTTCCCCAGACTGGGGAAGTTTTCAGCAATCACCTCCTCAAAGACACTTTCTATCCATTTTTCTCTCTCTTCTTCTTCTGGTGCCCCTATAATGCAACTATTGTTCCATTTGGATTGGTCATAGAGTTCTCTCAATTTTTTCATTCTTGGAGACCCTTTTTTCTCTCTGTGTCTCAGCTTCTTTGTATTCCTCTTCTCTAGTTTCTACTTCATTTATAGTCTCCTCCACTGTATCTAATCTGCTTTTAATACTCTCCATTGTGCTCTTCAACGACTGGATCTTTGACTTGAATTCATTCCTGATTTCTTGAATATCTTTCTGTACCTCCATGAGCATATTAATGATTTTTATTTTGAACTCCCTTTCAGGAAGATTCATGAGGTCGATGTCATTTAAATCTTTCTCAGGAGTTGTATTAATAATATTACTTTGAACCAGGTTCCTTTGGCATTTCATATTTGTTTATGGCACCCTCTAGTGCCCAGAAGCTCTACTCTCTGGAGCTGCTCAGCCCCTGAAGCAATGTCGGGGGTCGCAAGGGAGTGGTATTGGTGCCTGGGGGGAGGAAGGAGCTGTTTCCTGCCTCCTGGCTGTTATGCCTATCTCCACTGCCTGAACCAGTGGGCAAGCACAGAGGTATAAGCCTCTATGCTTTGCACTTGTAGTTGCTGTAGACAGATCTTCCCTCTGGCTGGCATAATGCCAGGGTAGGGTTTGCTGTTTTGTGAGCCAGGTGGGGCTGGCTGGGAGAAAGGTGCAGTAGGCTGCGTATCACAGAGGGGGTCCTTGGAGCTGTGTAGCCAGCCAGGAAGCTGGAGCACCTGAAGATTGTGAAAGCTCCCAACCTGCTGGGCAGAGTGCACCCGGACAATTTTGTCTACCTGTCCTTTCTCCTCAGCAGTAAGCTCTGTGTAATCCTTGTCCCTTTAGGAGCCCTCTGGCTAAGCGCTTCCTTGTTAGGAAGTCTCTCAGACTGCCCGCCTTTCTTTTGTCCCAGAGCAGTCAGATATATGGATCACAAGCGGCTGGAATCTCAGTCTCTCCAGGAATTCTGCCTGTCTTAGCTTTCCAACCCCCTAGTCACGAGAGTACCAAGTAAGCACCATGAAATGTAGGTCTGTGCTCCCAGAGCAGATCTCTGGAGTTAGGTATTCAGCAGTTCCAGGCCTCCAGTCCATCCCCACTCCGTTTCTCTTCCTCCTGCCAGTGAGCTAGGGTGGGGGAAGGGCTTGGGTCCCACTGGGGCCATGGCTTTGGTACTTTACCATGTTCATGAAGTTTATTCTTTTCTCTAGGTGTATGCAGTCTGGCACAGTCCTCTTTCCAGTTGCTCTTTTAGGATTAGTTGTATTAATTATATTTTCATATTATATGCAGTTTTAGGAGGAAACCTCTGTCTCACCTCTCATGCCACCATCTTTCTATAGTCTCTATTATAACTACTACTCAATTCTTATCACTGAGGCATTAAAGCAGCCATAAACAATGCATAAAGAAATGGTCATAACTGTGTTACAATAAAACTTTATTTACTGATGTGTGGATTTAGCCTATAGGTCTTAAAGTTTGCTGTCCCCGATTCTCTAGGCTGAGACTTCTACAAAGGAAATGAAGTGGCAGAAAGCAGCATGAGGGAGAGCACAGTAAGTAGAAAAGAAGCCACTGAATTAAAATATAGTTGAGTTTGGGGTATTAATCAAAGAGCAGTATATGAATAAAGGAGCAACAGTAAGAGCAGAAAGAAAATGAAAGAGAAAAGCTGATGAGAAAGGGACATTAGAGAGAAGAAACAGTGTAAAAAGAGAGTAGAGCTGACACACCAATTTGAAAGTAGACCAGTGCAAAGACAAAGGCAGCTGAATGCCCTAAAAACTACATGGTAAAACAAAGAGGGAAAAACGAGAGCAACCTGGGTCTGTCTGTAATGGACTACAAATAAAGGACAAAACACACACTGTTTTTCCAGTGATGACCTAACTCTCTCCTCTGATTATGTGCTGCAGAAGGAACCCATGCTTACAAAATGTAAAGGTACTCTTCATTTTGCCCATAAAGCAAACTGGTACATGTGTAACATTCAAGAGACCAAATGAAACGTACTCACTATATAATAAAAGATATTTCTAGGCTTTTTATTCATTTATATATTACATAAACATGACTTTTTAAATTTATTGAAACCAGTGAAGTTAGTATTAAGAACTTAAAAAGCCACACTGACCTTAGTAATTTTAAAGTTTCCCCAAAAATAAAGGCAAAGATTTAAAAAAGAAAAGAATCTTGAACAACAATCTGCATATTTAGACTGGTTGATAATTTTATTTTTTACTTTTGGCTTTATTTGTGGAGAAATTAAAGTAAACGCAGATTTACTCTGACACAGCTCAGCTAAACAACCAATCAGACCATATAATTTATGTCAGTGTAATACAGTGTTTAAGAACATGACTTGGGGGTTAGAGAGTGCTGGGTTTGTGTCCTCACTTTACTATTACTAAATTGTGCCTTAACTTTTATAATTAATGAACCATACCAACCAATTACTCTAAAAGTTTTCTCTATACTAATAGTACCTCCAAAATAATACCTGTATAGAGGGCAACTTCTGCCAGGATAGTGTTAAAAATATGGCTTAAGAGACATGAAATTCTAAATACGTAACTTAGTACTAATTTCAGGATACTATACACTGAACACAGTTGTGTAATTCACTGAATGACTTCAGTTTTTAAATAAATACCTGAAATTACTCCACTAATGGATGTCCTCATTAAGAAAACTATATTTTTATGTATATAGCAAAATACATCCCATTGTGAGTGTAAAAACGTAGTCCCATGCTCTTAATGTTTTTCAAACATACATGTTCTACTTCTTTATCTTTTCATCTTCATTAGACAATAGTTTTCCAGCAAAAGCTCTCTGCCTTTCTCCGTTAGTCCTGTGCTCCCAGGTTATAAAACTAAAGCATTTATAGAACCATAAGCATAATAAAACTCTATCAGCATTATTTATAGGAATTCTAAAAGTAAGAATTTGTAAACTGAAGCACTGAAAGCCAAATAGGACAAGAAATTTTCAGCTGAGTATAATCAGTAGCATTCTTGATCATCAACTGTAAAAATCCCTTCATAAACTATTTTTTTAGTAGAACCCAAACTCATTATTTATCCTACTTAAATGTATGAAGGGTCTTCCTCTGCAGTTTTAAATATTTTTCAACAAAAGTGCATTACAATTCCCATTTGTCTTGAATCCATCAGGTTATTCTAAAAAGCCCTGATTTCTTAAGAAAAAAAAAAAAAGTCTGTATGATCAATGTAGTCTTTACTTGAATAAATTTTGTAACCCACGGAGCATATTTAGCAAAGCAAAACTCACCTCTTCTTGCATAACTGGAGTCCATATCTTTAAACTGTACCACAACAAAGTCTGAACATTTGAACAAAATGCTCTCCATTATTTCTTCACGTGTTGGCCCTGAACTGGATTCTGTACTTTTCTCATGTGCAGCATCAAGTACCAAATCACACTAGAATTAGAAACATGGGTTAAGTATTCAAAACCTATATAAAATAAAATCTGACAGGAATTCGTCAGTCCATCAAGGTACTATTTCTTGTAAACCTTTGGCTAAAATAATCTGTTATCAGGAGAACCTTATCATCATAACTATAATCATATCTTTTTCTCAGAAATATTATCTACTATCCATTCCATCAATCAAAAATCATCTTCTAAAAGTCAGTCCTTGCTACCACGGTCTTCCTTAAGCACATCAACAGTAATAAAAGGAAAACAATGAACCATCCAATCCCTCTCCACTCTACAGGGCTTGACAGGGCCAAAATATCTTAAGCACACAAAGCAAGAGTCTTTCTGGTTATATAAACCAGTCTATAAAATAATCAGTATTTGAAACTGAAGAGCAAAATCATTCAAAGTGGGTTTTAAAACTGCTTTAAAGGTAAAGCACTGAACATGAAAATGTACCAAACATACCCACTTCCTAACAACAAACTGCTAAATCAGAAACTAGAAGACACTGTCAGGAAGCCATATAAACATACAGTAGTTGATAATTCATGGGGTTTTACATTTAACAAAAAAGGAAAACAGGAAAAATTACCTTAGGACTGTAAGTTTTAAAAACTCCTTCATATATACCTCCGTTTTTCACTTGTACTTCACATTTGGATCCCTGAAAACATACAATTAATTTATCAAAGAAAGTCTGGCAGCCCGGTCATAGGGGATAACTGTTTTCATTTTACTGTTAACAGCTCATCAGGCTTCATTCAGCATATTTAGTATTCACTGACAGAGGAATTCAAAATTTTAAAACATTAACAATACATTGAATTCTCAAAATTCTTCAAAAGGCCTACTCATAAATTGCAGTATAAATTAAATAATGAAGTACTTCTGACTCCAGTTTTATTAAGTGACAAAGTAATGCACTGAAGACAACTACTACTATTATTTTGTACAAAGCAGGATTAAAAAGACTACTTTCATAGTGAGTTACAACAGCTTGTACAGAATTCTAAAAATCTGGGGTTTTTTTGTAAATCAGTGTGATTAAATATGATGTAAGAAATGTTACTTTGAGAAACATTCATCCACACTTTAACCATATGAAATTACTCCACTCCCAAGGCAGTTTCTCTCTAATACTCTGGTAACTTACAACAACTGATGTAAGTATATGAACCATCCTCATATTTGCATAGATTCCATCAAAAGAAATCTGGAAAATTAAGAAAAAAACATTATCAGCAATCAGTATTTATCCTTGTATATATATTAAAGCTAACATTTATTTTGTTATAAAATGCTCATTTAGATTTATAATACCTTACATATGCATTACAGGAAGAGTTGCTTTACTAGTCTTTTGCTTCCTTAAAGAAGCTTTAAAAATGAAATCAGTCATGCCAAGTAACAATGTTTTGACTATATATGAAAAAAAAAAAAAGCAAAAGTGAATTTCCATATATGAAGGAAGACAAAACCACAGAACAGAAGACATCGATGCTGGGCAATGGGGAAGAGCGTTCATTATAAAGAGGCATGAGGGATTTCTGGAGGTGATGAACTGTTCTATTACCTGATTATGTTGTGGTTACACAGTGTGTGTGTCAAAACTCACAGACCTGTATGCTAAATAGGGTTAAGTATAACATAATAAATAAATGGGGTGGAGTGTGGGGCAGCTTTGTAGAAAACCCTTGGACCATCTTCTCTCAGCATATCTGAATCAATGAGTGCTCAGAGGTCTCATCAACCACACCACTCCTTTATTACCTAGTACATCAGCATTTATGTCTTCCTGATCCTAAAGAAGAAAATCTGTCTAATAAAGGCAAAGTCTCAAATATTAATCACAGCTTCTCATTTCTTTCTTTCATATCGTGGAACTTACACCTTCTGCCCTTTGTGCTCAGTTTAATTTCATTGATAAAGTTCTGAAATTTAAACCAGAAGACCCTCAAGGGTGAAAAATGAAAGGGAAGAAGACAGCACATTAATTCAAAATAAAAAACCCAAAGAGCTCTGCAAAGTCCAGTTCTTGTGTTCTACTTATCTTTTAGGAATTACTCATTTAGATTTTCTTTAGGTCATTTATAAAAGAACAAATGACTTTATGAATTTACTATTTATAGATAAAATTACATTTTATAGATAGACTCATCATAAGAAAATAACACATATAACTAATAATTTTATACCAAACAGTATTATCTATAAGGTTATCCAAGATATAAAATTCAAGAGAAGGGAAATATTTTTTTGCCTTGGCTTTTGGTCTATTGTTTAGAAATAACATTTTAGTTCTCAATTTTTCCAAACAAATAACATTGAAGTTACTCACCGTAGACTGAGGCAGTCCTTTACTACTGTTTCGACCTCTGAAAAGATTAGATATTATATTCATTAAATTCAACGGGCTAAACAAGCTGAAACTATTTTCAAGTTTAAAATAACTTATAATTCCATTCAAATAAAGCATAAGCTATCTGTGAGGAGGGATCATCTATTATTAAGTATAGTATGGCACTCTCTGTGCTTTCCCGGCTCAGAGGCCCAAAGAGGTATATATCATGGGACACAGAAAGGAGGAAATAAAGAGAACATGATCAAAACCAAATAAATGAAGTGAAAATTAGAAGAGCCAACTGGAAGAAACCAATACTAAATATAAAAATCTTTTCTTCAAAAGTAACCAATTACTGTTACAAAAAGCTACTCAGAAACAAACTACAGATTCTATTACTGATTTAAGTGACATATTTGAATGACATCAAGTCACCTTCCATATTTTTCCTTTGCCTCTAAAACAGGTACCATGTCTACAACTGCAGAAATGTATTTAAAAACAAATCGTTCAAAGCCCTTTTACTTCTAAATAATAATTTTCATCAGGATCAACCTAACAAGTGCCTTTCAATGCCAAACCCTTCCCTCTGAAACAAACAATGTGGTACACCAAAGTTAGCTATCAAGTAATTTCCAGTAATGTGGACTCTATTTTCAAGTGAATTTAATTATAGAACATAACATACCCAGAGACTTGTTCCCCTGGAAAATATTATGTCCCTTATCAAACAATATAAACACTAATTAAGTAAAATGTTATATTCCTCATAAACCTAGTTACTCTGTAATCTCATTTTAATAAAATAATCACAACACTCAAATTAAGCCACAAACTTAAAACATTCAAAAGGAAGCACAATGCAGGTCCAAAATGTCTAGCAGTATGAATAGTGCCAATTCCCAGTGAAGCAGCACTGATCTGAGAACTCTTGAGGTCAGGACTACTTTGGGCTCCAACTCTGTCACCTTTCTTCTTTTATCTAGACAATAATGTCTTGGACCAAACCACACCTGAGATTGCTTCCATTCCTAACATTCTAATTATGTAACTCTTTGCCTCACAGCACAGGAAGAGAAATTCCTAAAGCCTAAGGAATATGACCAAAAAATTAACATTTACAGAACTTACTATAAACCAGACACTACAGTAAAAAGTGCTGTCAAATCTATCATCCTTACTTTACATGTGAGGAAACTGAACCTCAGCTGTTAAATATCTGGACCAGAATCATCCAGTTCATGAGCAGTAGTGCTGGTATTTGAACCAGGTGATCCAAAGTCCAGGCTTTTCATTTCTTGGTTATGCTGCCTCTCTGAAATTGCATCACCAGGAGCAAACTTCACAATTAAGCCTAGCCAAATTTCTACATTTTTTCAAATATCATTTAAATTTATTGGGTCTTTCTATTTATTTGCAGTCTGTAGCAAAAGGCTGTATGTATCAAATGGCTACAATTTGCTTAAGATTATCTTATCCAAATGGTTGCTGAGACACCACAGTTAAAAGCCTTAAACAAATGCCACCAATTAAAGGCCCTTAAACTCATGTGGCATCCCCACAAAACTATTAAAAATAATTTAAATAAAAGTCCTTTCATAAAGTAACGCTTTTAAATTGATAATACGGTTATTGTTTTAAGAGCAATTATTTTGAAAATCCAGTTTAATTAATAGAACAAATCACTCAACATGGATAATAACAAAAGACACACAGTGGTATTAAAGTAGTACAGAATGTAGAAACTACTGATTTCTGTTGATCTAACAGGTGGTTCAACACCCAAGGGGGAATGTTAGCATATCATAGCAGCACTATCTGAAACTGACAAAAGCTCAAATTCACTTTTTGGATCCATTCAGATTATGCTTTACTTTTTTTTTTGGTATCATTAATATACAATTACATGAGCAACATTGTGGTTACTAGATTCCCATTATCAAGTCCCCACCACATACCCCCTTACAATCACTGTCCATCAGCGTAGTATATGCTTTACTTTTATTATTTTTTCTTTAGTATTTTGGAACAAAGCATCCTAATATTTCATGTAGTAACAAAAACTGATCTCAAAAAAGGCCAAGAGCATAAAGTCCTAAATATACTTATGATTAGATGGATCAGATTTTTTGAACCACTATATTGTATATTTGAAACTAATACAAGATTGTATACCAACAATTCAATAAAAAAAGAATAGAAATAAAACAAAACATGGCAAATCGAACCTGTTCTTAAATCTTACACCTAAATGCAATACTTTTGGTCACATTTACTTGGTTAAAGGTTTTATGGGCACATGTCAGTCAAAAGGGAGAAAGGAACTATAATACTGCCATTTGCCAGGAATGAAAACATATTTTGAATAGCCCTAATGATGACCACAGTAATATTTTATTATAAATTTTTCTGAAATAGGGACTCCCGGTCACCTGGGCACTTTCCATGCTCTCAGTTACAGAAGTATGCCTACAGGGTGGCTTTTTCATTGCCTTTGCCAGGAGTTCTGCAAGTTGCTGTGTTCTGGGACCAGATTTTATGTTAATTCATGGCTTAAGATGCCCAAGTCACATAGTAGTTCAACTTCTAAGCTATAATTGTATGTAGTCCAGGTTTGGATTTACATTTTTGTAAGAAATTATATTTCTCTATTTAGACTCAAGAAAGGCAAATTTCCTACTGTTTCCCTTATCCAGTGGGTGGAGTTTTTCTCTTTTCACAGAAGTTTCAGATCTTCCAGATTCCAATCTTCATACAAAGTGCTCAGGTTTTACTCTCCTTCTCTTTTATGCCCAAGGCCACATATCTTGGTCCCTTACGGTTGTTAAACAGTCCCTTTGCCATTATTGCCTTTGCTTCTGTTGCTACTTTTTGAGCTGCTGCAGCATTTGTTCTTTTTTTTTATTAAGGTATCATTGATACACAATCTTATCAAGATTTCACATGAGCAACGTTGTGGTTACTACATTCACCCATATTATGAAGTCTGCCCCTATGCCCCATTGCAGTCACTGTCCATCAGTGTAGTAAGATGTTAAAGAATCACTATTTGTCTTCTCTGTGCTATACTGCCTTCCCCGTGACTAGATTGACCAGATTTAACAATCCCCAGGATTCTAAACTTTCAAAAGTTATTAAACATGAGATTAAAGTGTGACTGAAAATGCCAAAATATTTTTTAAATTTCCAAAAATAGTTTATATTGCTTCAAAATAATGCAGGAGGGAATAAATAGATTGTGATTATAAATGCAACAAGACTGACATGAATTGGTAATGGCTGAAGCTAGGTGATAGCTGTGCAGGGGTTCACTTTATCATTCTGTTTTACAATTTCCCCTAAACCAAAAGAAAAAAAAAGTGCCTTCTGATATAATGCAATCAGGGTCTGGATTTAATCCAGTTTACAGATCTACCAGTTTATAGGAAACCCAGGGCAGAAGAATATATTAACTGATACCATGAGGTTAGAAATCAGTTAAATCCAGAAAGTGAAAAATTCAATAGAACAAATGACAGTTTCTTCAACAAGTAAATGGCATGTGGAGGGAAGCAAAATTATTATAAATTTAAAGATACACATAAATTAAAAGCAAAGTGTGGCTTCAAAACTTACTGTAAAAAGCATATAGTCAAAACTGTGGTTCTGGCAAAAGAACAAACATAAAAACCAATGGAAGAGAGAACCCAAAAATAAACCTCACATATATGGGGCAACTGATTTTTAACAAGGGGGTAAAGATCATGCAGTGGGGAAAGGGCAGTCTTTTCAACAAATGAAACTGAAAAAACTGAATATCCACATGCAGAAGAATGAAGCTGAACCCTTACCTTACACCATATTCAAAATGCCCAATTCAAAATGGGCAAATAGACATTGAACAGACATTTCTCCAAATACAGTTGGCCAGTAAGTACATGAAAAGATGCTCAATCTCACTCAGTAGTCATTAGGAAAATGCAAATCAAAACTACAATGAGCTACCACTATGATGGCTATTATCAAAAGACAAACAAAACCCAGAAAATAACAAGTGTTGACAAAATCTGGAAGAACTGGAAGGAACCCTTTGTGCACTGCTTGTGAGAGTGTAAAAGGTGCAGCTGTTGTGGAAAAGAGTACGGCAGTTCCACAAAATATTAACATAGAACTGCCACATGATCCTAGCAGATACCATCCCAATTCAATTTCTGAATATATACCCAAAATAACTGAAAGCAATGATGTGAACAGATATCTGGACACCAATGTTCATAGCAGTGTTACTTAAAATTGTCAAGAGAAAAAAACCCTGTATGTCCACTGTTAATGGATAAACACAATGTAGTACATCCATCCAGTGGGACATTATTCAGCCTTAAAAACAAAGTGAAGCTCTGCTACAACATGTATAAACCCCGAAGACATGCCAAGTGAAATAAGCTTTCACAAAGGAACAACTACTATATGATTCTACTTACAGGAGGTGTAGTCAAATCCATATATACAGAAAGTAGAATGGTGGATGCCAGAGGCTGGAGTATGGTTGAAATAAGGAGTAAGTGCTCAACAGATACAGGACTTCTTTTTGGAGTGACAATATTCTGAACTCAACAGACGTGATGGTAGCACAATGAGGATGTACTTGATGCCACTGTACTTAAAATTGGTTAAAACAGTAACCTTTATGTCATGTATTTTTTACCAATAAAAAAACAAAAACAAAACAGATAAGCTCAGATTTCTCTTCCCAAAGTAACTTCATTTTGCAACAGTGTGTAGACAAGTTCATGCCTAAGGATGCTCTCAAAACAGTAGAGGTTGTGGTCATTTGGTAGAGATTGGTAGAATCACTGTAGATACAGGCTTACCAGAATGAAAAAGCAAATTCAAGCTCTACCCTAAGAGCCACTTGAGATTCAAAGACACAGACAGACTTACAGTGGAAGGACAGAAAAGGATGCATTGTACAAACAGCATACACAAGAAAGCTGACGCACTGTACTATTACCAGACAAAGCAGATTTTAAAACATGTTACTGGAAATAGAGGGAC